ATAGATAGGGAGTTGAATGTGAGAGTAACTGAAGATATATGGCTACTTTCCATTAAGAATGAATAAATGGATCAATGAATCTCCATTCACTTTTTGCTGTGTTCACTCTCACCATGATTAATAATAATTCTCCCCATTATATTATTTCAATATGGTAAATTATCTTTATTCACATCATTGAAATCTCAACACAATATGCAACTAGGTTTCCTATCCATGCAAGCAGATGGTTCTTTGATTTACACGAATAGGGAAGTCACCTTTTGAAGGCAATTTGCATCCAGCTCACCATTTGGATAGCACTTAAATGCACATATCCAAATCAACACTATACATCCTGAGATCACAAAAATGAGACGGAACTTCAAGAACGTTTGATAGACACTTCATATTTTTAAAATTAAATTACTCAAGAAACCGGGAGAATTAAGAAAAGGACTGCATCCACCTGTACCTACGATCCGCTGCAACTACGCACGAATAAATCACGCGAATATCCGGGGTATGTCCACCGAACCTACTCGGAGGAATCTCAGGAGGATGTCCAGCGGATGATCTAGAGCCGTTGCATTTGGATATCCGCGTCACGTACCGAGCGGATGTCCCACGTACGTCTGAACGTCCGGCGCGGATATTCTGCGATCGTACGGAGGATATCTAATGCTACCTGGGTCTGGGAGGAGCTAGGGTACCTTCCTCCAAAATCCGAAGTTCGGATTGGATATTCAACTTGGCCTCCTTTTGTCCCATTGGCTACCCTTTCGGTGTTGGCCTCGACGTAATTTATTTAAAGTCACTATGATGTTGTGACTTGCTCATTATCTTAATGGATTTGGTTTTATGTGTTTGATCCAGTTGGTTACAGGGTTGTCCCATCCCTACACTGATAACATTTCATTTTTCTTACATTATACTGAGTATTAGAAAAAATCAGGTATTTTTCCTTAATTCCTTATAATATGGTCAGTAATTAAGTCATCGAATCAAATTGAAATAATCAAAACACTTTCCTTCAATATGCAATATTAGGATTAACAATATACCACCTGAAAGCCAATTTCTCAAAGGTTATTTTTAAAAAATTAACATTGTTTAATTTCATTTCAACAGACCATTTGGAAGGGAAGAGAAAGGTGGGGAAAATATTAGCGTAGAAAAGGATGAGATTCCTGCAACTCTCTTTTCAACACCTCAGGAGGAGTAAACAGTATATTTCCTCCTTCTCTTCTTTTGTAAAAAGGGCGGAAGACCCCGTTCTTCACAACTGCTTCCAAAATCCATTCATTGTCCAGTTTGCAACGTAAGTAATACCAGCTATGGTAATGTGTTTCGTGCACGTATTTGTTGGCAAGGTGTAGTAGGCACTACCACGAACCGTATTGGTAGTCATAGTAAGCATCGTGTTTGATGGTTTTACATGCTTTGGCACAAGTATTTTTTACTTAAAAAGATGAGAGCTATATTTTTTACTTGATCCAGAAGAGACCTCTACTGTATGTCAAACAGTCCCGAGGCTGAAACGGTTCTGCCTAACTTCATTCATGGTGTAACGTGCTAATGGATGTATTGAAGGATCAATTTAATCCTCCGACGATGATATTACAGCTCCTGACCTGGTCCAACTCCTTATTGAAAATGGATGGCTGCACAGAGAGAGGGCGTGCCCCAAGTTCGGGGAACATGTGATAATTATGAATGCTTCCAAAATAAGTGACGGGGTCACGTTCAGATGCCGAAGGACCTCCTCATCCACCAGGACGAGTGGATCAAAGAAGAAACAGAAGAAAACCAGATGCGATGAGTTTGTATCTGTCAGGAAGGATTCCTCCTTTCAAAATTCAAATGTAAGATTAATCGAAATTAAGATTGTTATTTATCTCTGGATTCATGACCTACCCCTGGAGTACATCACTCGTGACATGCGTGTAGAAAGTCTCATGACACTCCTCATATATTTGGGTGTACGTATAAGTCTCCCTTATCGCAGGTATGCATTAAGGAATGCATTTGGAAAGGGGAGAGGATCGGTGGAGAGGGGAAAATCGTGGAGTTGGACGAAAGTAAGTTCAGCCGCAGGAAATACCACCAGGCCACCACTTCGAGGGTCAATGGGTTTTTGGCGGCGTGGAGCGAGGAACAGGAAGGTGTTTCCTCGTTCCCGTCAAGGAGAGGAATTCAGAGACGCTACTCCGCCTCATTCGAATCTGGGTTTGTCCTGGGACATTGATTAGGACTGATTGTTGGGCTGCATAAATAATGACATATAAAAATCCCAGGCTTTCAAACACCTGACGGTGAACCACAAACTAGAGGTCATCAATCAGAGCACTGATCCACCAACCCATACGAACACCATTGAAGGTATGTGGCGGCACGCCAAGGTAAGTTTGCCAGATTGTTTGAGCAAGAAGGCTCAATTTGTGGGGCACTTAGCAAAATGTATGTACTTACGTAGTTTAAAACAAGAGAAATTTGACGTCTTCGAGCGCTTCATGGATGATGCTTTTGCCCCTTCAAGTATGGCAGAAGGCATCCCAGTTTGGATATGGTAGATGACAAGAAGTGGATGCTACAATACCTCGGTGTCCTTACTGTGAGTTGCATCTCCGTGTTTCCTGCCTACAAGGTGGTCCTAAAAAAGGCACTCTTTTTCAATGCGCATTTTAGGTGAAGCCGGAGGGTGCAGCGCCCATTTCTCATAACCAAAATTTAAAAAATATTTTTTACGTCACTGTTTAAAATATTTTAAGTTTGAAAAAAGGATTTTGTAGCTAGGTCTTTCTTCTTTCCATGAAATGTAACCGTAAAAATATATCCAATAAAGTATCACCTAAAATGCCCATTTAAAGAGTGCCCCTTTTTGGGTCACCCTATAGATGCACATGGCTTTCGACATTCATAGGACTAATTGTTTTTTTCTCCCTTCTGGCCAGTGAAAACCCCGAGGAAGACACCGATGATGACAGCAGCTCCACTGATCTCTGATTCAACCATTTCCAAAGTGGGATTCATCCATGGAGGGCTGTTTAAGTGGAATACCGTGGCCTGTCGTTTCATTTATATAACATGGGTTTGGAAGGTTTGTCGAACCGCATCCAGGTGTTGGAAGCGGTCCAATTTCCGAACATTCTTTGGTGCAGCCCGATAAGCACTCAGATCCATTGAGGTGGAAAATCGTTGAATTCCTCTCCTTTTTCTTCACCCACATGCAACTTCCTCCCACATCTAGAGACCTGATGGTTGATGGCATGGTGGACCTGGTGTGACTTTCCTCTGGCATTACTCTTCCCCAACTCCACTAGTCCCAGCTCTTCATCGGTCTTCTATTTCCGACTGTCCTAACACCTTCAACAGGAGAAGGTCTATTCCAGGGTCTTGCTATGAATCCAGAGATATTAACTTTGTTCCTTGTAATTATTACGATTTATTTTGACATATTAGAATCCTTCCTGCTGAACAGATTCTTCGCGTCCGGTCGTCTTCTGTACTTTTTTGTTTTTTACACTTCTTTAGTGTCGTGCACTTTTCATACACTTCTTTTGTTTCGTGCACTTTATTTCTTTATTAATGAATAAATGATAATTTTAGTATTTTCTGCCTCTAAATGGTACCGTTTTCATTGGATTCACTCCTGCTGACTATCACCTCTCTGTTCTTGAAAATTGTTTGACTTACTTAGCGCACAGCCTTTTCTTTTAGCCATTCATGAATCATGATTCCCCTCCCTTCACATGGCATAAAACTAAGTACTGCATTTATGATATTTTGTCATGGAAGCGTGAAAGGGAGAGAGGGAGAGAGAGTGGGAAAAAATAGTGATTGCCAGATCATGCATTGACGGAAGAGGGAAGTAGGCTGGAAGGACAATTGGGGGAAGAATATACCTAAGCGATTTGATTCTATCTGTAACACATGTGCAAGAAAGGAAGAAGGCTTCATGGAAGTAGTGAGTGGAGGGTAAGCATTTCCCCCTCAAGGAAGTCGAGTTCAGACAGGGGTGGAAGTTAAGGAGAAACATGAAAAAACTAAGCGTGAAAAATTCCCTTTCCCAACTTCGGCATAGAAAGAGTCACTTTTTCAGGATAACCCCTGTTCTCTGAGTTGTCTGTGACAAGTGCAAGGAACTTTTGCTTTGCGTCCGGACAGGGTCTATCAATGGATCTCCACCCCTTTGCAGGAAAGGGATATTTGCGTCAATCGAACAACAGCAAGCATGTAGACCTTCGAAGTAAATGAATTCCTCGTACGAGAGTTTATGCTTCTGGCTTTTGCCTTTCTCCAATCGATGAATCTGGACTGAGCTGATCCTCAACGAGAAAGGTGCATAACTTAAGTGCTGAGATTTTTTCCTTTTTGACCTACTCCCAAGTCTTTCAACTCTCATGTTTTTCTCATGTTAAATGTTAAGTGATGTTCTAACAGAATGCCCCTGAACATACATTAGTCTTCTTACAGTAAAGAAAAATAAATTAGCTTTGAATAAATCTCCATAATTGATACTTCAAGTAATGTCTTAACCCTTGACCACTGGATTGACTGAGCCAGTCCAGCATCCCAGCGGTATTATTCCAGCCTCAGCCAGGCGCTAAGTCCCACGACGTAAATATACGTCATCCGTAGTAAATGAGGAAATTCCTGCAGGTATGTGCAAAACGGCAAGTGTGCAAATACTTCTGAGCGCCACTGTAAATTAAATGAATGTGAAGATAGGACCAGAAAATGAAGCTATTATTTAAATGAATAGATGATTGATTAGTCGTTCATTCTGTGCCGAAGATGAGAAAGGAAGTACGTCTCTGCTGTCTAGTTTCCTCTCCCCCTACCTCTGTAAGCCCGCTCTGAAAAGAATGAAAGCCGGGTTTGCACATGCTCAAAGCCGTCGGGATTCCATAGGGGAATGTGGGTCTGCCTTAGAGGAGCCCTTCTTTTTTCACAATTGCTGCTTGAGCATGTTCTTTCAGGTACTTGGCTGTGACGAACGACTAACTTTTCATGTCTTCTCAGTAAAACATACACACGCACGTTCGCTCACCTTACTCCCTCCCTCATTCTCCCTCCCTCCCTCCCTCCCTCCTCACTCACACACTCTCCCGGCAAAAGGCGTGAACAATGTTAAGTGACCCCATCAGGTTGAGATTGAGTTAAATTGGCGAATATAGTACTTTCTCTATGTTCTCCTTCCTTAGGATATTATGTAATTGATACGTAACTCGCATTTAACTGGCTTAGTTACTTCTTAATTCTTGTCTGCAATTATTTACTTTTATTCCTTTGAGAAGTATGTGAACGCCGTTCTCAAGAAGGAGGAAATCCCGTGGACTTGTCTATTTAGATTTCGCGAAAGCTTTCGATACAGTACCTCACAAGAGGTTGCGGGCTAAACTGGAGGCGCACGGGATCCAGGGTAAAACGAGTGACTGCATTAAGAACTGGTTGGAGGCAAGAGAGCAGCGAGTAATGGTTCATCAAAAATTCATGGTGAGGTGTCGACGGAAGTCGAGGTTGCAAGCGGGGTCCCTCAGGGCTCGGTCCTGAGGCCACTTCTTTTTCTTGTCTCTATTAACGATGTGGATGAAGGCATAGCTAATAAAACAAGCAAATTTGCTGAAGACACAAAAATAGGTTTTCCCGATCAAGGGGGAGGACTGCCGTACGTACTTTGACTATGTACATACATGCCCTTGAGGACAAAAGATCTAGGGATGCTAACGGTTTCAGTTTGAGTGCCTTTCCCGCTATGGGCAAATTTAAACTTCTAAATTTGCGACGTAAGATCTAAAAACGCTGTCTGTCCTTGCGGAACATCACTCATGATGCTCTTTCCCCCCAACCACCTAAAATTTCTAATCCAACCCAACCAATGACACGGATTTCCGGTGGGCGCTTATCTAACACATCCACCCCAGCAAAGATTCCGCTTCCGCCAATGGCTGCTCGCCACTTTGACAAATGACGTGCCTCTGTCGTGTGGAGGGCCTCAAAAGAGGACTTTTAACGTTAACTTTAAGCCGAAAACAAGAGAAAGACAATTTAGCACGAGCGGTTAATCGGAGGCAAAAGAAAGGGGTCCTGGCCTCACTCCACAGACAGGACAAGCCGTCTAGGGAGACGACTGATGACAAATAATAAAACGGTGTTCAAACAACAAGGACAACAGGTATTTAATTAAAGTTAAATTACGAGAAAAGAATAAATATCACAGATTGGGGTCTTGAGGAGGTCTTCAAGAGATCTTGAGGAGGTCTTGAGTAGGCAGGGCGATCGATGGAAACGGAGATTGCAGGCAGGGCGACCGACGTCAGACCAACAAAACAAAGGCTGCAGGCACGGCTGGCAAGAGGGACTGCCCCAGACGAAGACTCTCGACGGAAGACACAGGACAACACGCCAGACGGAAAAACGAAGGACGGCGTGACCGGAAAGGGGGAGGTCACACCCCCAGAAAAACAATGGAGGGCTATGCGAGCCCAACCCTGTCATGGGCAGAACCCATGCAGGGCCGCGAACAAAATAATGTCCCGCGGGAGCCACAAAGCTCTATTAAAGTTATATTCGAATTTACTCATACGACACCTCCACTTGGGAAAATATCCCATCTAAAAAGCTATTGTCGGTAATTGTAAGGTTTTTCAAGCAGCTATACGAAGTATACATCAGGTTGCTTATTCATATTTTATTCAGGAACTAAGATCACTCAGCTTGAAGAGCAAACAATCTTGACATCTGACGAATGGAGAAAAATAAAAGAGTGTTTACTGAATCTCTTAGGGAAAATGTGAGTCTCATGAATATCCACTGAAACTAGAAAGTAAGCATTATGCTATGAACCATACGAGATGAGAGATTCTAAATAAAATATCACTGGAGCGAGTCAGCGGAGACAAAAATATAGTGTATCATAGAACACTGACATATTTGACTTGACAATTTACAATAAAAACTTGTTTGCTGATGAATTAAATTTTGTTTCTTTTTTTGGGGGGGGGGTATTTCGCAAGATTTAAATTTTATTTGTGATGGAAAATGGGGAAGTGGCTTATCGTACTAGGATTTGGGAACAGTTTCTGGCAGGTGGCGCACTTGTGAAAGCACAAGATGTGCGTTTTCGATATGAGCAGGAAACTGAAACAAGCACTAAATTAACATAACGAAAATTGCGAAAAGCAGTTTCACAATCTTCGGATGATAAGCTACTTCAAATTTTTCTATGGCGGATAAAACTTCAAACCTTGAAGAAGAATAATTATTAAAATTTGAGAATAATCAAAATGAAGGTTTCTCTTGTAAATTTCAGTTGTAGGAAGTCTTCCCTGACACACCCTGTAATATGCTCAATTTGAATCTTCCCCAAAGCCAGCAAAAATGAAATAACAACCCAGTCAGTAAAATGTTTGCCAATCAATCGGGACATTGAAGGGACATGAACATGCGCAATGTAGCAGATGATGGGGTGTGAGGACATAGGAAGGAACAGCCCGGGCGGCTCCTATGTTTCAAAACTTTCTTCCACCGAGTACCAATTGCTCACAAGCGTTGATCTTACCTCTGTTGACTTGGACAAGCCTCTTGCATGTAATGGTCTGACTACTTTTTGTAATTTCACCATGGAACAAGAGTAAAAAGCCAGGAAATAATGGACACGTTGATAGTCATTTTTTGGAAATATCAATGTACTTTTCTGAAAAAAGGTTCAATGCATCGTCACGAAATTTGGTAGAGGAATGGAGGTGGGTGTTCAATGAAGTCAGAAGCGGTACATCTCCGCAACGTATCTGTTCCCGAAACGAAACTCATTGACGAAAAAGCCAAACTGGAGAAAAAATATTATTCCATTCCCTTTGACGTGCGAATATCGGCGTTAAACTTGAGCCCACGTAATGGAGAATTCCTCGAGCTTGGCAAATATGAAAGTTGCATAAAGATCCGTTAAGCGCTTCAGATCCTACTATCCCTTCGAACATGGCGCATGGAGCTTGAGTCATCCG